ACTGGGGGCAGTGCCATCTTTTTAAGGGAGTTAGCAACGGCACAGGCGTGTTCTGTTGTCTTAGTCCCCAGAGGCCGGGTCACCACTGGTATTTAGAGGGCATGTCCAAGAGTGCTCGATGTCCTTTAGTACAGGACACAGAGTAGATAAATAACTGACTTTCTCCTAAGGCAGTCCCACTCCCGCTGAGAACTGCTAGTGTTCCTTGAGGGATGTGTAGAATATGCATCTTCCAGTTGGAGGGTCTGCGTATAGGAGGGACTTCCTAAGCCAAGGCTTCACTCTAAAGAATGTGTGTTGGGTGGCCATGCGAACAGAAGGTCGAGGCTGGCTTCTGGAGATACTGGAGCCATTAAATAAAACTCTGGGACTTTGTTGCTTTTAGGAACCACACCACATAGGATATTGGAGCAGGGTTCTTGAGAGCATAGGCCTACCCTTCACTTACCATGTGCCCCATGTAAACATTAGCATTTTTTTTTTTTTTTTTTTGGTGAATGAGTGCCCCAGACAAATGGTTTCCAGGACTTGGCCTCGGTGACTCTTGACTTTTGCCAGGTCTAGGATCTTGTAGTCTGGGGAGAGCCTGACCGTCAGCATTAGCTCTTTGTAGAATAAACAGGGGGCGTGCTGGCCCCCATGTCAGTGTCATCTCCATAGCCAGAGAAGAATGTGGCGGCCAGGTGGCAGAGTAGGTGCCTCGGCTAACCAGAGAAGCAGTACTTCCAAGAGTCCTCCAGGAAAGTGTATTGTTTTCCTCCTCTTCCTTGTAGACCGTCTAGGGCCTAGATTCTGGGCCATGCAGCATGCCAGGTGCATGCTGGGCCCTTCATATTAATGCCCTTGCATGTAGAATTGAATGGTCATGGCCACTCAGACCAGCGTTCTGCCGACAGAGTGCATGCACTGTGACTGTGACCGCAGTTGTTCTTAGGGAGTGACTCGCTGGTCTGTGTGACGATGGCAGCCGCGTGCCGTGGCCTGTGCTGTTACGAAGCAATACCGGGCTTCATTTCTGACAGTTTTCAGGGTGATATGGAAAGGGCATGCGGATGTGTAGGGTGACGCGATAAGTCTCTTCTTATGGATAAAGCAACTGTGGTTCAGAGAACGGAAATGACTTGCCTAGGGTCCCGGGTGAGCTGGTCTTGGGTCCCCACTCCCCCAATTTAATTGCAGACCTTGAATTGCACCTTGCTATGGGAGAGAGCGTTCAGTGCACGTGTGGCAGATCCTAAGGGTGGTGTGAGACTGCTGGCTCGAATATTACTAGCAGATATGTAAGATGGGCAACCTGCATTTATCTGCCAAGAAACGTTGAAACAAGGGAGGCGAGGCGTGTGGAAAACTTTGTCACGGCAAAGAATTGTAGAAACATTCCTGGCATGATTTGGATGTCTGTGGACTGCTAATTGGTGGGACCAGCTTTAGTGAAGGGGTAGGTTAGTGAAAATACCCCTGTTCATACACTTCAGTCACAGAACAGTCCTAGGGGGTCACGTGTGCATTGTACAGGGAGGAGATGAAGTACCTGTGACTCCTTTGTTCTGTATAGCATGGCGGTGATTGTGTGTGTGTGTTGGGATTGTTCTCACCTCATCCGTAGACACCAGGCACCTGGGGCTCAGAGGACAGCTGGGACTTCTTAGGCCACTTAGCTCTTGTCTGGATGCTGGTGTCAATATTCAGAGACTAATTCTTTCCCTTGTTCCCAGGGTCCGAAACAGTGGTTTTTCTCATGCTTTTTATTTCGGCATCCTCGATCATCTTGGTTGTCATCCAAATGCTAAGGCCCCGAGTTTCCAAGTTTTTGAAGACAAACTTTAAGATGTTAGGACATCAGCTCTTCAGAGAATTTGGGACTCAAAAGTGTTTCTCAAACTAAAATAAAAAACAAACAAACAAACAAAAACTCCAAAAACAAAAACCTCTGAGAATTTGGTACATGTATACAATGAAATGTCATATACACCCCAGTCCCCACCTACTTCCCCCATCCCTCCCTCCCTCCCTCCCTCTGATAATTCACTGAGTCCAATTGGTGACATATTGTAGGTGGGTGTGGCTCCACCCACTGGAGCATTGGAAACCTCTGGATGGCCACACCCTCCAGCTCTTACATTCTTCTTTCTTACTCATTCTTTACTCCTGCCAGAGTGTTTGTTTGGGTTGAACGTGTCCACAAGTATACAGAGGCATGCTGTTGTCTGCTTTTCCATTTATGGACCAAGATACAATTAACTGATGATCATTCTGCAGCCTATATTGTGGCATTCTGTTAACTGACTTATTGGGCGAATTCATTGTCATAAAGGCCATTTGAGGTGCATATTTTCCCTTTTATAGATGAGGAAAATGAGATTTAGAGGAATGAAAGAATTCTTTTAAAATGTGTTTTTATTTGAAGTAGAATTACATCACTTCCCCTCCTCTCTTCTCCCTTCAGTTCCTTCCTGACACCCTCTCTCTCATCCCTCATGTCCGCCCCTCTCAAGTTGATGCTCACTTTTGCTTTGATTACTATTGTAACATACGTATACACACATATATGTTTACACACACAACTTGCTGGGTCCATTTTTGTTGGTGATGTGTATATGGTTTCAAGGCTGTTATTATCAATGGACTGTTAATGTCCATTGGAATAGTTCACAGGGTCCCACGCCTAGACTAAGAACCATAGGCAAGTTCTAACTGCTGGGAGATGTAGCTAGAGTTTTCCTGCCTTGCCCACAGTCAGGACAATTTTTTCTCACCCGCCAGTCCCACAGTCACTCAGACCCAACCAAGTAAACACAGAGACTTATATTGCTTACAAACTGTATGGCCATGGCAGGATTCTTGCTAACTGTTCTTATAGCTTAAATTAATCCATTTCCGTAACCTATACCTTGCCACGTGGCTCGTGGCTTACTGGCATCTTCACAAGCTGCTTGTCCTGGCAGCAGCTGGCAGTGTCTCTGTCCACCTTCCTATTCTTTCTTTTCTCCTCTCTGTTAGTCCCGCCTATACTTCTTGCCTGGCCACTGGCCAATCAGTGTTTTATTTATTGACCAATCAGAGTAATTTGACATACAGACCATCCCACAGCAGGGAGAACATAGGATTCTTTTGTTTTTTGGGGGAGAGGAGAGTATTTTTGAGTCCAGGTTTCTCTTTGTAGCCCTAGCTATCCTGGATCTCACTCTGTAGACCAGGCTGGCATCAGATCCACCTGCCTCTGCTTCCGAGTGCTGGGACTAAAGGTGTGCCCCACCACGGCAAGTGAACAATAAATAGGATTCTTCCCCAGGTTTTCTACAGCCACATCTGTACTATAGATGCTTCTCACCCAGGTAAAACCACAGACCTGCTAAGGAGGTACCTCTTAGATCCCTACAGTCACTGATATCGGAGCTAGAGGTTCCTTAAAGAGTTCAGAGGGTTGATGGTTCTCAAGCTGTGGAGCCTCCAGTGTGGTCTTAGAGTTGGGGTGCCAACAAAGGGAGAAGTGGAGGTGGGGGGAGGGAGGCCTGAAGCCTGCTGGCAGCTCTGATTTCCCTCACTTTAAAAACTACACATCTCCTGGTCTTCACTTGGAGGAGGAGTTGTGCTGAGATGAAAGGCTGGAAATCACCATGGAAGCCTAGTAAGTCTTTGTGAAGGCTACAAGGCCAAGTGGTTTAGCGTTGCTACTAGCTGTGATGAGCCCAGGGCGGAGACACCCAGCTCTGCATGTCCTGGACTCCCTGACACCTAGTTGAAAGCCTCTCTTTGAACTCACATTCCCATCTTGGTGGGATGTAGCTGTTTTCCTTTTCCAAGGAAGTATTTGATCTGCTGAGCTCCCTCTGAGGCCTTGGGAACAGCAGCTGGAGGTTCAGGGTCACACAGCAGCCCTGAGCAGCTGCAGAGCCCTCGGGGGCTGCCCTGTGCACAGTGTCCTTGAACTGTGTCTGTCACCCTGGCTAGGTCTTCCCTTTTGACCCTGGCACTCTTGCTTTGACTGGTTTAATTTCTGTCTAGGAAAAAGTGAATGGTTATGGCCCATATTATATTACGCTCCCGAGCCAGCCTTCTAAGGCAGTGCCTGTCTGAACACACCCAGCCATTGAGTGCTCACTGGGAAAGGCATCTGGCCATGGCTCTGTTATTGTCAGCTGCTTTTGGAGGTGGCTATGCTACATGTGATTGTTATGCATGTTAGTTATAGGGAGCGTATTTTATCTCTTAAAAGTGACGTGGTTAGAAGGTGGGCAATGGGGGAGAAGACAGACATAGGGGTGGAGTTTGTACTGTCAACGTGTTAGTTAGTATTGGCCTCTTGCATTTACCATCTCTGGGATTTAAATGTGCTGTCTTTAACATTCATTTCCTCTGTAATACGGGAAGAGCGTGCCTAGCTCATACGGTTATTACTGCTATTAAATAATACACCACACACAAATCTATGTACATGTAAAACCGCAGTGCAATTGCTAACATAAAGTAAATCTTTATCCCATCATAGTTATTGCTGTTAGTATTTCTCAGTGGGGAGCAAAAGAGCTTTTTTTTTTTTATCTTATCAGTGGTGTGATCAGAGCTTTACTTTTATCACAAAAACAAACACAGCAAAACCCCATTCTTTTATCTCAAAACAGTGGGTTTTATTTACCACTCTGGGTTGTTTATATCCACCTCTCTGGACACCCTTCACCAGTGACCTTATATGCTCTTGACTGACTCTGGTCGGCTGCTGTTCCCTAGCCTATCTTCTCACTGCCTACATTGAAGTCTTTCTTCTTATCTACTGTGTCCTTTGCATCTTCGTGATTGTTTTCCCCTGTAGCTGCTTTGAATGCCTAGCCCTACGTCTAACCCAGCTACTGGGAGGAAATCAAGGAACCATAGCCTGCCTGCCCTCCACAGTAGTATCTTCCTAGCAGGGGGATGGACTGTTTTCTCACCAGTCTAGAGATGAACTTCCGGGGGATATATGGTCGCATCCTAAATGACAGTGAGTCCTTGATTCTCTGCAGGACCTGAAGAGAATCCTGACAGCTAGAGTGTTGAAAGAGGCTTGAAAAGAAGGCAAACAGGAGGCTTTGCTCTCTGAGCTGCCTGGGACCCCTCTCCAGGGTGGTCTCCAGGGAGAAGGCTGGTATGTAAAGGGACCGGATGGGTGGGCGGGCTCACCCTGCTGCTGGCTGGCTGCATGCTGCCTTGGGGTGTCAGGCTCCAGGTGGAACCTCTGTGAGCAGGAAGGGTTAACCGGTTGGAGATCCTTATCCCTTGTTATCTGCAACTGGAAATGTCTTGTGCCCTTGATTAATTCATGCATGGACGCTTCCTCAGCCTCCTTGGTAAATAGCTCCTTACTGAACATTTATTTCCCCACGGGCTTACTGCAGTGAGACTGAAGACTGTGTTTCTAACAGCTACTCTGAGGAAAACATCAAAGGCCACATTTCCGGAGCCGAGGCTCTCAGGGGTCTTCCAGATGTCCATCTCTATTACCTCCTTCTTGCCCAACATTTGCTTTTAGCTGAAAAGGGAGATTTTTGTCTTGAGTTGCCCTGTAGACCTATGTGACTTGGAATTTGAGCCCCTGACAGCTGCCGCTGAGCTTTGGAGCTCCGAGTGTGAGCAGCATGTAGACATAACCTGTAGAACACGGAATCATTCTCCCTTGATTCCCAGGGCCTAGTGTTTCTTTGTCTTGTGAATGACCTCACTGCTTTTTGTATTTGTAATGGAATGCACAGTCATTTACAAGTAATCACACAGTAATCCCTCACACTTGGAGAATGCCTTACTCTTTTCCAGAGGGCTTTCGCTCTCGTTATCTCATTGGATCCTTATAACTGCTTCAAGAGGGAGGCAGAGTTACTGCTTTAATCTCCGATTTTCAGGGGTAGAAACCGAGGCTTAGAGAAGTTAAATAGTAAACCAGAGGTCACACAGTGAGTGTGGAACAGAGTCAGACCTGGAGTCTCAAGTCGGCAGCTTCGTTTACCTCCTCGGCTGCAGTGGCCTCCAGAGTGTATGCCATGGCTCTGTGCCTCTGTCTCCCTTTTGGCACATTGGGTATTCTGTTGCCCCAAAGGCAGTTGTGAGTAGAGATTCAATGAGACTGCCTGGGGAGGCATTTATGTGTGGTGGATGGAATGCACCAGTAACGCGAAGCACTACTGTTTTGACTACATGAACCGTGAACGCAAGTAGTGCGTCTGAACTGTAGACGAAGGGAATACTTCATCCTCCCAACTGCCTGAACATCTTTGAGGTACTCCGACCCTGTGACGAGCACATTGACCTTGCTGCCCTGGGTCTTTTGGAGAATTGTGCTGGCCCTCCTTTTCTACAGAATTCATCCTTAATGTTCTTTGGAAGAGCCTTAGAGGCGCATGTTTGCGTCCGGCAGGACTGGATCCTAATGCTGAAGAATGAATGGGATCTGCATTTCAGACTTCATCCATGAAGGATGGGCACGTAGCAAGGCTGGCGGAGTAGAGATGGATGGAGAGCTAGGCTTGAAGGTTGCTGTTTGTTGTTGCACACAGAACCAAAGAAGTCCATTTGCTGTGCCTGGTCGTGCAGACCAGTAACCCAAGGTACTATGGAGGCTAGGGCAGGTGGCTTTCAATTTTAAGGTCTACCTGGGGTATAGAAGTGAGTACAAGGTCATCCTGATCCACTTAGGGATGCTGTGTTTCAAAATTAAAAGTAAGAGGTGGAAAGAAGGCTGGAGATTCAGCTCAGTGGTAGAGCACTTGCCTAGCTTGTCTGTGTCTCTCTCTTACACACACATACACACCTACTCTCACACGTGGCACACATACACATACATACGCAGAGGGGATAATGTAGCAGGAATCTTAAATGGTCTTATTAATAAAATCAAATCTGAGCTAGGTATTGGGCTGAACAGTGAATGATCAGAAACAGAACAAGCCACAGCTATCTCACCTCACTAGTTCCTCAGCTGATCCTGTTTCCTCAGACTGGAAGCCTCTGAGTCCTCATCCAGAATGAATCTCAGCTGAACTGCTGCTAGAAGCCTAAAAGCTTAACTAGCCAAATGCTTCTAGTTTTTGGTCTTCACGCCTTATATATCTTTCTGCTTTCTGCCATCACTTCCTATGATTAAAGGCGTGTGCCACCATGCCTGGCTATTTCCAGTGTGTCCTTGAACTACAGAGATACAGAGGGATTTCTGCCTCTGGAATGCTAGGATTAAAGGCGTTTAGTGCCACCATTTTCTAGCCTCTGTATCTAGTGGCTGTTCTGTTCTTTGACCCCAGATAAGTTTATTAGGGTGCACAGTATTTTGGGGAACACAATACCACCACAGGATAACACATATACACTCGCACACAGGGAACACACACACTCATACACAGAGGGGAACATATTGGTGAAATTATTAAGGCCACTCCACGTAGTTAAAAGGGAGGTTTATTTTGTGGGGTAACTCATAAATGAAGGGATAGGCTACAGGGTCTGGGGAGGATGTAGTGCAGTCCGGCAGTGTTCTCTGGAGAACTCTGTTCAGTCTACCTCTAGTGTCTAGGGTCCGGGAACCAAGAGAGGGCGGTGCATCTGGATCTCGGGTCTTCAGGGCCCTCTCTTGGTCCCGCCTTGTAGACGTGGTAGTTACCGAAACCTCAATGGGGGTTTGAACTTCCAGACCAAAGATGGAATGGCTACCCACTACAGGATAGGAGAGACTGGATTTTGTATGGCACTTCCGAATTCACAGGATAGTAGTGTATATGTTGAGTGTGTTACTATTGGAACACACTCCAAAGAGTGGATTTCATCTTGGTAACAGTTGCATGAAGAGTCAGTAATGTGATGTGGTCAGGAGAGTTGACGATGGACTGAGGTCTTGGATAGCTTTGTTTCTGTATACACAGCTACCTACAAAAATGCCACACCAGTGAGATAAGCATTGACCTATGGTCCTAAGAAGCAGAACAGGGCAGGAGGTTGAAGGCCAGGGAGTCAGACTTGGTTCCATATAAGGAAGAACTTTCTTGGGCAAAGATGGAATTAACAGCTGTGGGGAAATATGATCTCTGTCTCATGGGAGACAGTGGGGATGCTCTGGGGGATCCATGAGCAGTCAGGCACATTGGGTCAGAGGTGCTCCGTGGCTGGGAGGAAGAAAGAACACATACATGAAGGGAGTGGAACATCCCTTTGCTGATAAGGAGACTAGCTTCTAAATGTCTGCAGAGGAGAGGGTGAATGTCAGTCTTCCGTTCCGATTTTCATGTTTGTCCTGACGCCTCGCTGCTTGGCACTTGGTTTTGGAAGTTCTCAGCCATTCCCTTGGTAGTGTCTACAGTGAGACATCTTAATTCTCCACTAAACTACTCCTGTCTATACACCAGTGGAAACTGTGCTCCGGACAGAACGAGGAGCACCTCTTCCCTTCCCACCCTCCTGCGAGACCCTGGGAGCAGTGCAGCATGGGAACTGAGTCCTGAGTTCTGGTTCTGGTGTGTGGTGGCAGGTGCTTTGGTCCAGTTGTCTTACCTATTCCCAGGGTCACTTGTGTGCACAGCATTGTACAGCCGTGAATGTCTGTAGAATAGCCCCCACCAGCACCCACGGAAGCTCATGTCTGTCTTTCATTCTTTCTCCCTTGATTTGGCCTTGAGTCACTTAGACCAGACTCACTCTTGATTAGCTTTTCAGCTCCAACTTAGTCATCAGACATTCCACAGAAGCTCGGGGTTAGAATTCATTTGACAGAGTTTACGATCAGATTTGCCTTCCCCTCCCCTAATAATCATGCTCTGCCCATGGTCCCGCTTGACTCTGCATCAGGGATCCTGATGTCTGTGTCATGATAAGAATTCAAGCTAAACCAAGTGCTCAGGAGGCTCTCCAGCCCTAAGGTCTGCGGACACTTCTTTCAATATCTGTGTAATGTGGGCTACTCAAATGCCATGTATTGTATGACCTAAAAAAAAAAAATGGTCGTGTGTAAGGTATCGATTGGCTTTTTGTTCAATTTAGCTTAAAAGCGTTCATTGTCTGTAATCATTGCACACAATGCACTTTGACACTGTTGTGCCTTACGGCCTCCCGCCCCGTCCTTCCTTCCTCCCCATGCCCATCTCTGATTAGTTGCTGTCCACCTACACAGGTTTCCTCCTCTGCTCTCATGTCATGTACACATCAGTGATTTTGTGTCTGTGTAACGTCCGGGAACCACAAACAAGAGAGGACATCCTACGTTGTTCCTGAGACTGGCACATTTCCCTTCCTGTGACTGTCTCCAGTTGCGTCTGTTTTCCTGCAGACGGCAGAACTGACCCCGTCATGCCTGCCTGTCACCTTTTCTTCATCCATGCCTGTGTGTTTCTTAGTTATTGTGAATGCTGCTGTCATACACATCGGCGTTGGAGTATCTCCCTAGCGTGTTGGCTTGGTTTGGTCACTACGCAGGAGGAGGATAGTTGGATCATATGATGGTCGTAAGTTTAGCTTCTTGAGGGACCTCTATCCTGATTTTCAGAGTGGCTGGGCCAGTTTTCATTCTACCAACAGTGTTTAAGTGTTCTGTTTTTGTCCACGCCCGTGCAGCAATCGTTGATAGGGAGAGACATACTGACTGGAGCGAGATGGGATCTCAGTGTAGTTTTCCCTGGTATTTCTCTGATGGTTAGTGATGCTGAACATTTCATACTTGTTGGCCATTGTATTTCATCCTTTGGAAGCTGCGTCTTCAGCCCATTCATTATCTGCGTTTTTAAGTTTTGTCTTGCTTACCCTGCGGAGTTCTTTGTTTATTCTAGACATTAATCTTCTCTCAGATGAATAGCTATCGAAGATTTTTCTTCTATTCTGCAGCCGGTCTCGTGTGGCATTTGGGACAGCCCCCTTGTAAGGTAGACTTTAAGCTTTCACACCAGCCACTTCCTATGCTGGGTAGGGAAGCTGTTTCCTGGAACAGGATTGTGTGTGTGTGTGTGTGTGTGTGTGTGTGTGTGTGTGTGTGTGTGTAGTAGATGACACTCCATGTCTGTCTGTTGTGTGTGTGTGTAGTAGATGAGACTCCATGTCTGGGGGGGTTGTTAATGATTTACTCAGAATAAGGAGAGCTGCCTTGTGTGGGGCATGTTCTTGAAGTGCCAGAGAGAAGGG